ATATAAATCATTTAAATAACTAGCTATTATACGTGCATTGAATGGATTTTAAATTATTTTTACTGCGTGTAATGGTGATCAACGGACACACAGCATATATCTATAGGTAGGATTCTGTGGTTGAATGCTGCGAAAATCTATCGTCGAGTATGAATCAAAATATATATGTATCTTCATATCTGGGAACTAAGAAAAATGTTCCGTTACCAGAAAAAGGGTCTCTGGTATTAACCACTCACGCTTCACCTAGAATTCGCTAGGTTTTTAGTTGGTTCTTCTCAGGAGAAAAGTTCTTTTTTTCGGAAACAGTCGTAAAAGTAAAAAGGTACTTTCAATAAGAATTACTTGTAATCTATATTGAATAAAAGAATATTATATACAAAATAGCAGTATTCTGCTGGTATTCATTGAGAGCGTGGTCTATCCCTGGTTGAGCCGACCCATTTCGTTCTGCAGTTACACAACCAGCTGCTGCGTGACTCTACCACATATAAAAGTCTAATTAATTCTTAATAATTTAAAATTAATTCATTTTAAATTATAAAATTAATTCATTTTGTATTCATTTTTTTAATTATTCATATAAATGTTGGCTTCGCCCGCCATTCAAAACCGAATTCTCTGGTTTCTGGTGATGTTTGTGCTTTTAGCCTACACGGCTCTTTCAACTTCATCGTACTCATGGGCACAAATTTCTTCAGTGAGTCTCACTACGATTCACCGGCGAAAAATTCAGAACAGATCGCAATTCAGAAAAGGTTGTAATTTGTACAACGCCATCTATTACGTTCTTTGTGAGAAAACATACTTTTTTTAATTAAGGGTAAACATATTTTTTTGTTTACTGTGTTTTAAGTATAAATATATTATAACAAGTTTTTTTACACATGAATATTTTTATTACTATTTCTAAAATTTTATGGCGCCTTCAAACAGATTCGAACCTAGATTTCAAAATAATAATCATAACATTCGATAGAATTTACCAATTTTAATAAAACAAAGATTAAATGAACTCGATAATACGCTTTATGATTTTCTTAAGTATATAATTGAAAAAAAAAAGATGTTTACTCAAAACTTCATGCGTTCATAAACAAACAGACAGACCGTCAGACAGTACAATTCTAAAAATTATAAAAATGTACATATTTAATGATTTTCAGTCCCCATAATGATTTTAGTCACAAATTAATATACTATACAATGTACAGAAACAGTCATAACATTCTATCACCATTTTTATTATATGTATATGTATATATTTAAAGAGAGATGGCGCTGTTAACATCAATTCTAAAAATAAGAGATTAATTGACGCGATTGACACAATAAAAAACATAAAATAACTTATAAATGAGTGCCTGCATAGTAAGCAAAAAAGAAAGTTTGATCCTCGCCGAAAAACGAAATTGTTAATAGCTCTTTTAAAATTTGATTTACCACATAGAGTACTCTGCGGTAAAAAAATAAATGAGATTGTCAACACGCAGTAGGGCAGCGTGTTATATAAAGATTGGAAGCAAATATGAAACTCCTCTACAGGAAAAAACCTTAACCTGCCTTTTTGTATCATATTTGTGCCACACCACCATCTATCGATGAAATGGTTATTGAAAACGACGAAAGAGGACGAAATGACGAAAACGAATAATTCTCGCAGTATCCGTAGAGTATATATTATAATATGAGATATTCGATGTTAGACCACAGTGGTGACGTATACCTTAGACCTAGACCTTCAGAAACAGACAGAAATAAAAAATATATGTTTTATTGTATAACTACCGAGCGATTGAATATAATCTATTATAAATTCTTCATTTCCATTCCAATTTCTTGTTATTCAAAATCAGTACGTATAGGCAGATTCATTCTTGTTTACCTATGTGAAAGAGGTATTACGTACTATTTTTAAAATTTTAATAAATTCAAAAATATTCCATGCCAGTATTTTTCTAGCGGCAGAACTATTGTTATTAACGTTTTGAAGACGTTCGAGTTTGTTTCGCAGTCGGTAGCACGGCTTACAGTCGGCGTATGCAAATGCACGGGTGTAGAATGGGAACCGATGTCACCCCAGCGACCTCCTGCCATTCGGAATATATTATGAGGCACACAATTGAGTGAATGGTCGATTGTCTCGCTTTTTGCTCGCTAGTATCGGTGTTATTGAATAAAATGTACAAAATCCATCAGTCATTTCGGTTTCATTTTTTTTTCTTTAATAGACACTACAAGCTGTGTACAAGCTGGATTGTGAATGTGGTCTCTCTTACACAGGACAAACAAAAAGATCTATAAAACCCGGGTCAAAGAACGTGACGTGAAGCATCGACGTATCGGGAAGTCTGCAGTTTATGAACATGTTTAAGATCGTCCCCGCCTTTACATTACATTTGATAGACCACAAATCCTCGCAAAAGAACACCGATTCCTACCAAGGATGATTCGAAAGGCTATTGAAATAAAAAAACATCATAATTTCAATAGAGAAGATGGATGGGTGATGCCATCTGCTTGGGATCCTATAATTTATAAAATTAAATCCAAACCCAAGTATACCACAGTTAGACTTCAAGATACTGTAAGCTCATTCTATTAAAAACCTGAAGGTAGCCGTGCTAACTATGACATCGGGACGTCAAACACCTCAGTTCCCGTCCCCCCTGTGACCATGGGTGCTGTAAATCACCCGAAACGTCGGGAATTAAAAAAGTTAAAAAAATTAAACGCGATATAATCCGTAAAAAATTGTTTCATTTAATGTGTTGTCTTCGCGTAAATATAAGAAAACATTAAAAGACACTAGTAAAACGTCTTTCCTTCACATTTTAAACGGTAATAAACTAATTGATTATTTCATCATTCGACCACTGGTCGTGAGCCATTTTTCTCGTAATAGAGTAGTACATAGGCTGCACTAAAAGTATCGGGAATGCAATATTTCCACTTTCCTGTCATATTAAAATCTTTTTAATTGAATAGACCTTAGTTTTAAAAATCGAATACCATTTATTTATTTAAAAAAAGATTCTCGGTCTTGTCACAAACTTGTTTAGTCGTTGAGAAAATGGAATTGACTCGAGAAAATTCAAGAGCGATGATTTATTATGACTTTCGAAGTGGTTTAACACAAAAACAGTGTGTTGACCGGATGATTTCTGCATTTGGTGATGAAGCCCCATCCAAAACCACAATTTATCGCTGGTTTGCTGAATTTCAACGTGGACGTGTCAAGCTCAGTGATGATCCCCGTCAAGGTCGTCCAAAAACTGCAGTCACCCAAGAAAACGTTGATGCTGTGCGTAAGCTGATTGAGGAAGATCGACATGTGACATACCGCGAAATTCAGGCAACTTTAGACATTGGCGTGAGTCAAATACAAATAATCTTGCATGAACAATTAGGTGTAAAAAAGTTGTTTTCCCGATGGATACCGCATTCGCTCTGTGAAGAGCAAAAAGCGGCTCGCGTTACTTGGTGCGTCAGAACTCTCGAAAGATTCCACGCAGGATCCTTAAATGCTGTATACAACATCGTATCAGGTGACGAATCCTGGATATACGCGTACGAACCCGAAACAAAAAACCAGTCACGAGTTTGGGTGTTCGAAAATGAGTTAAAGCCAACAAAAATTATTCGTTCACGGAGTGTTGCAAAGAAAATGGTGGCCACGTTTGTCTCCAAAACCGGCCATGTTACGACTATTCCTCTTGAGGGACAATGAACGGTTAATGCAGAATGGTATGCTAGCATTTGTTTGCCACAGGTCGTTTCTGAACTCCGTAAAGAGAACTGCAACCGCCGCATCATCCTCCATCACGACAATACGAGTTCTCACACCGCACACAGAACAAAAGAGTTTTTAGAGCAAGAAAACATAGAATTATTAGACCATCCGCCGTACAGCCCCGACCTAAGCCCTAATTATTTCTATACTTTCCCTAAAATAAAGAATAAATTACGTGGACAGAGATTTTCATCACCTGAAGAAGCTGTGGACGCCTACAGTTTGAAACCTGAATGCTTTGCGGGCAGTGAGGTCGGATATCATCGTAATTGTTTAAAGTATAGCGCGACGTGTCCTGTCGATGTGGAGAATCTTTAATAATATGGCGTCTGTTATATATAATAATGCTCCCGTTTGCTAATTTTATTTTATATGAACGATATTGCAGCTGACATAATATTGTCCCTGATAACCGAGAAAAGTAAGGGTACTACTAGATGTAAACCTTTGTTTACATCTAGTAGTACCCTTACTTTTTGTCCGTTACTTAATTGGTCTAGATTTCTCGTATGTTGGTCGTAGTAGTATTTTTGATTATTTTGCCTCATGACTAATTTATTATGTACATTTTTTGTAATTTTGGTTTTAAAGTGTGATCTAACTTTGGTAACATACTTCTGAATTTCCTACTTTGCAATAACTCAGTTGGTGATGAAATATCATTTTCTATAGGTGTGTTAAGATACTCTAGTAACGCCAATCGATAATCAACTCCATCTTCTTTACTTTTAAGTATTATGTTCTTTGCAGTTTGTACCATTCGCTCAATTTGTCCGTTAGATTGCGGATATCGTGGCGAGGAGGTTATGTGTTTGAAATTCCATTCTAACGAAAACTGTCTAAACAGGCTTGATGAAAACTGCGGGCCACAATCAGACATTACTACGTTCGGTATACCCTGACGGCTAAATATGTTTTTTAGGGTTTCAATTATACTAGCTGAATTTGTACATTGTAATTTCTCTATTTCAAAAAATTTGCTATAGTAATCGACTACTCGTAATAATAAGTAATCCACACCTTTTATTTGAAATAGATTTGTACCTACTTTTGCCCATGCTCAGTCGGGAATTTCGTGAGGTTGCATTTCTTCCTTTTGGTTGTGTTTCCTGTACGTCAGGTATATACTACAATTAGATATTAAATTTTTTAAATCGTCATTTTTTCCCGACCAAAATATTGTCTCCCTTGCTCGCAATTGACATTTTTACAACCCTACATGACCGACGTGTATCTTGTTTAACAAATCTTTTCTTAAGAGTTTTGGCACCACTATCCTTTGATCCTTCCAGACTAGACCGTACGCGATCGATAAATGCTCTTTATAGCCCCAATATGGCTTTACCAAATCTATGACGTCATGTTTGTTTGCAGGCCACCCTTCTATTATGTATTTCCTCAACAACGCGAGTTCATCATCATTTTCTGAACCCTTTTGCAACTTAATAAACTGCAAGTCCGTAAATTCAGTCGCTGCGCTCATTGCCATATCTCTTGTGATCGCGCAAACTTCATCGTGCTGTGTATAGTCAGCGCTGGAAAGCTGCGCGCTCAACGCTGGCTCCGGCTCGTATGCCCGTGACAACGCGTCAGCAATAAATACTCGTAGATTTTTACCGTCCTTGTAGACTAATTTGAATGTATAGCGTTGTAATTTCAATAACATCCGTTGTAGGCGCGATGGTGAGTCCGCTATTGGTTTCTTTATAATACGAGTACTAACGAGTGGCTTGTGATCAGTTTCGATAACTACGTCTGTTCTTCCGTAAATGTACGCATGAAACCTCTCACAAGCAAAAACGCAAGCGTATAACTCCTTCTCTATCTGAGCATATCGCTGTTCTGATTTTGACAATGACTTAGACGCATAACAAACTGGCATATTCCATTTCGCATTAGACAGGCACCTAAGCCGCTTTTGCTCGCATCTACTGAGATACTAATAGGGAGGTCTAAGTCGTAATATCTTCACACTGGTGGTTTTGATAAACTCTTTTATAACTTTTAAACACTCATCATGTCGTTCATCCCAGTGCCATTCCGTTTCTTTTTTTAACAACTCCCTCAACAAGAATGTTTTATCAGATAAATTTGCTATAAAAGCGCCCACGTAAGTAATTAGTCCTAGTAATCGCTCTACGTCCTTTTTATTTTCAGGTTTAGGCATGTTCGTAATTGCTGTAATGTGTGAGTTATCCGGATAAAGCCCCTTTTTTGTAATCCTGTGTCCCAAATACCTGATTTCTTCTAACCCAAATTTGCACTTATTTTTATTTAGTTTGAGGTTGACTTTCCTGCACCTGTCCAATACTAATTTTTATCTTTCATCATGTTCTTTTTTGCTGCTACCGTATATTAATAAGTCGTCGATGTACATACAAACTCCATCTAAGTCATCAATATATAATATTTTTTATGAAACACCTCTGGTGCCTAGCATATGCCATAGGGTAACCTTAAGAATTTGTAACGTCCAAAGGGAGTGTTGAACTTGCACAATTCGCTAGTATCATCTAAAGCCACCTGCCAGAACCCTGCTACCGCATCCAGAGTACTGAAATACGTAGCACCTGAAAGTTTTGATACAATCTCGTCGAGTGACGGTAACCTAAAATGTTCTCTTTTGATCGCGCTATTTAATTCCTTCGGATCAAGACAAACTCGTATGTTTCCATTAGCTTTTTTAACAATAGTTAAACTACTTACCCAATCCGATGGGCCCTCTACTTTGGCTATAATGCCTTGTTTTTCCATCTGTTCCAATTTCATCTTAACGTTGACTCTAATCGCGAACGGTAGTTTCCTAGGAGCATGAACAACCGGTACAACATTTTCATGTAATTTTATTGTGTATTTCCCCGGTAAGCACCCTATACCCTGAAAAACGTCATACTGCCCTCAAAATGAGGGAACTCCGCTATCCTCCTGTATCGACATCACGCGCCTCACCATATCCAACTCACTGCACGCAAACCGGCCCAAGACCGGCATAGACTTAACATCTGCTATTTTAAATTCTAGCATGTACATTTTACTTTTGTAATAAACCTTTAAAGTGATTTTACCTACTACTTTTATGGCGGTGCCCGAGTAGCCAGACAACTTGGTATTTGTTTTTAGCAAAATTTGTGGCAAATAATACAACGGCAATATATTAACATCTGCTCCAGTATTTAATTTAAAATTAATAGACTTATTATTAATCATTAGGTTAACATTCCACTCGCTACTAGATTTTACAGTATGTATTACCTGCTCATCAGCCTCCTCGACATTGAATACACTAGCACCACAGGCTCTGGCAAAGTGATTCATTTCGCACATCACAGACACTGCTTGCCATACGCGGGACACTCAAACTTTTTATGTACACTGCCACAATGCCCACATTGCTTCACCCAAAGAGTCGAACCCGTGAAGGCACCCCCGCCTCGAGCGCGCGGCGGCGGGCGCTGGGCCGAGCGGGTCGCGCCGCCGTGTACACCGCGCCCGCCAATGCGCGTGTCCGCGCTCACGCCACCTGCGCCGCCGCGATATCCTCTCCTTGAATCCCTCCTGTGCCGCACACTCCAAATATTCTCATCATTTTCGACCGCTTGATTATTGTTGTTGATTAAACATGCTGATAACTTATCGCGACTCGACATATTTCTAATGCTTTACTTAAAGTTAGATAGTACTCCCTTAGTAGCCGTTCCCGAATAGCTGAATTGGATACGCCACATATCAGCCTATCTTTCATAAGACCGTCGTTTAAGACCCCAAAATCGCAAGTTAGAGCCAATTTCTGCAAGTCGAACACATATTGTTCTATGGTCTCATTTTCTGTCTGGTTCTGTGTGCAAAATCGGTGTCGTTCCACTGTAACATTAGGTTTTATATTAAAATGTCCATGTAATATTTGTAATACAGCTTCCGCGGTAGTGCATTTTAAAAGTGAATCTTTGTTTTGGTCTAGGATTTCTCGGCATTGATCGCCAAGTACGTGCAATAATATATTAATTTGCACACTTGCCGCTTTGTTCGTTATTTCACATGCCTTTGTATAAATTTCATAGCTATTCCTCCATTTTGTCCAACTGGCACTTAAATTTGCGTAGTCTGAACTCACGTCGAAACGAAATGGTTTTGGTGGACTTAAGACACCTTCCATAATTATTAAATATTATTAACTAAACACTATTCGAATTAACTTTTAATATGCTTAAAAAACTTATTTACTTTTCGGACTGCGCCATGTCAGCATGGGGACGCGGCAATCTAACACCGAGATCGAGCTGAGACTGATTTATTCATATCCATCCTCCACTATTACAATAATCTCTCACAGTCATATTATTTATACTGTGGTGTAGTTAACTAGAGGCCATGACTACTCCAGTGGTTATCACTTGCGGATTGGGAAACAGAATCAGACTGTTGCATTTTAACGCTGCGCCCGCCGCCGGCGCCGGTCTGGTTATCTCTTACTTCTGATATAAACGAGATTCACTGCCATCTACCGGAGGCGTAAAGATCTTTGTCGTTTGCTGTCTTGATAATTTTTTAATGTAGTTCTTTCTTTCTTTGGTAATAGATTCGTATCTATATACTTCTGCCAGTATCGAGTAATAAGAAATTAATCTTTAAAGTACACAAAATATGTTGATGTGTCACATAGCGAAGTTTTTGGGAGATATTGCCGGCAGCTTGAGCAAGCCGACAGTTGACAGTGGATAGTATCTCAAGGCTCTTAGACAGACACATTATCTTGTGGTTCACATCACCTTCGGTGCACTTGTTTCATCGTTTCCACTAACCGGTCATATGCGTAGACATTTAGTACATAAAGTCGCACCACTTTTACGTATCAAAATTCACTTCAATCCATTAGTTAAACAATAACACCGGAGCAGGCGGCTCCCGCCAAAACTCCTTTAATCTAATCTATATTTATAATTTTTATCTATATAAGCGAAATACCGCTGACTCACTCACTCGTAACGAGATCTCCAAATCTATTCGCCCGACTGATTTGAAATTTGGCATCTATCTATACACCTTTCTCAACGTAGACACCCACTATGAAATGATTTTGGAAAATTCAACCGCTGAGGGGGTGAAATAGAGTTTTGTAGACAGCTTGTGTAGTTATAATGTTGTATTGTCTGCAGAGCTATTATGGTAGTGGTGCTGAATGGCGTGCTCGCTGACGAGTGCCCCACGTCGGTGCGCGCGCTGCTCGCCGCACACCCCGGCTACAGGGACGCGGCCGCACAACTCCTGGCCGCCGCCCCGCGGGTCGTCGGACCCCAGGGCCTGTTGTACGTCGCACAACGAGAGCTGGCCGCCGCCGTGCCACATGATAGTAAGTCTAAGTTTCAGCTGTTAATACAGTACTTCATCATAGCGTGTGAATACAATTTGGTGTAGAACGAAGGAAACTTATTTTTGATGGAATTTTGAAACTGTAGCCGGTTGCATGATGTTGCATGTATCATTTATGTATCAAAAACATAAAGGCGTGTACTATAACTAATATATTAAGAAAAAAAATAGCAAACAAGCCTTGGCAATAATTAGGAACACTTTCAAAATCAACTTAAAAAAACTAAATACACTACCCAAAACTAAAGTCGACTAAAATATTTACTATACATATTATGTAGTATTAACTGTCAAAATGGCGTCGATAACGCAGCGCTCTTTTGACCCTTTATTATTTGAATGACCGATCTATCGCATCAAAAATCCATCTATGCAAATAAGACTGTAGTTTTTAGTAGTTATAAGAAAGTGACCATAGTAACCGGATGACCATATTACCCTCACGTACTATATTTTAGCAGTTAGTGGAGTGAGTTTCTTTCATTGTCCTGCTCCTGTCAAAACAGTCAGTTCAGTGCTTCACTTGAGACAGCTCCATCTGCGCACACTGTTGTAATCACTCTCTGTTTGTGTCATATATCTCTCCTTTTAATATATTATATATTATAACATTTATAGAGAATTGGTCGATTTTAATATAATTTCTTTAAAATATTTCCCATATAAATTTCGCTTATCAAATTATTTCTTTATCGAAACATTTAAAGTACAACATATCTAACATTTCGAACCACCTTATTAGAGATCTATTCAACAGAATATCACAGACCGTGAGCGAGGGAAAGCTCAAGATTATTGAAGGAAATATCATCTCTATGAGGGACTTTATGGAGGTGTTATGCTCAGCAGTGGACTTTGATAGGCAGTAATCAAGATGTTGATGAGTATCAAAATATGAAGTGTCTTATCATTGTGTAACATTCGTATCCTCAGAATTAGAAAAACCTGTAGACCTACCTTATTGAATAGTCCAACATTAAATAGTTACAGATTATAAGACATGATCAAGTCATACTTGCGTCGTCGGCGGCCGAGTTGCAAATGATGGTTACATTAATGAACATGACATTAAAAGAAAAGGGAATGAAAGTGAACGCAGGTAAGACGAAAGTTATGGTTTTTGAAAGAGAAGAAAGTAAAACGATATGTGAAATAAGAATAGAAGGGGAGTTGGTCGAGCAAGTAGATGAGTTTGCGTATTTGGGATGTGTATTTAGCAGGGATGGTAGACATGATAAGGATATAGAACGACGAGTGAATGCAGGAAAGAGAGTGAATGGGGCTCTACACCCTATTGTAAGAAGTCAGAATGTGTTCAAAAAGACACGTATGGCAATTCACAATGCTGTGTTAGTCCCTACTTTAATGTATGGTAGTGAAAGTTGGGTGTGGCAGAAGAAGCACGAGAGTAGAATAAATGCTGTAGAAATGCGGTCATTAAGGACTATGTTAGGGATGAATCTGAATGACAGAGTGAGAAATTGTGTGATAAGAGAAGAGTGTGGTTTGCAAGAT